TGACAGTGAAATTTTCATGATTTTGGAGAGTTTTTGGCGAACTCATTGTGTAGAGGGAGAGAGTTTTTGGGGAACATGTTGTGTAGAGGGAGGAAATCGTGTTTGATTATATGTGGAAAGTAATAAATATATATAAATATGTAATTAATTAATTTGTAGGAGATTAGTATTTTTTATCCAAATTTAGTGTATATTATATTAAATAATTATATATTTAATATTTTAATTTATCACCTGACTTGTGAATGTTTTAAGAGAGTTTGTCAATTGTGAAATATGTTTCTATATTGTAATAGTTATGTGGTTTTCCCTTAATATATATTAAAATTTTTGCCAATTGTTGGTGCATAATGGTTATACCAATTACATAGGAAAAAATAAAGGAATAATTGCAGTTGGGGTCCCAAACCTTTTAAAAAATTGCAGACTTTCTCGTAACTTTTCATTTGTTATAGCTGTCACCCCCAAACCTTTAAAAATGTTGTGAATGAAGCCCCAATGGATGGATTTCATCCATATTTTTGTTAGCTGACCAAAAAATTGGACTTTGACCACATATTAATCAATTATAAAAGGACAAAATGGTAAATTTATATTTCTCACATTAAAAAAACTTAAATAAAAAACAAAAGGAAAAAAAAAAGAAGAAGAAAACAAAATAAAAAGGAAAAAAATTTTCTGCATCCCCACCCCCAACCCAAAAATTACACGGTTCTTCAGGGTCTTCCCAAATCTTGCTACCCATTTAATCGTCGTGCCCTTATTGAGCCTCAAGTCTCCAAAGGCAACTCGACTCATAGATCAATTATCACGTCGAACCCACGAAGGATTTGGGTCTTAGAGTTCTGACATTGGGCCAGGTCAGGCAAAGAAGCCCTGTATGGCGAAATGAGATCCTGAAGAGACTTGAAGAGTGTGAAAACAAACGAAACACCGTCTTCAAACTCCAAGTCGGAGGCGGAGATTACCCTATCCACATGGAGGAGGACTGAGTCCGTCTGAAGGACAAGGAAGTTGAACCGCTTGGAAACGCATCGGCAACGAATGAGGGACTTAGTGTTAGATATGTTGTTGAAGATGAGGATTACAATTGGGTCGACTATGCATTCGAAACAATAGAATTTGGATTCATTCGGCTAGTGGGCCTTTTTTTCCTTTGCTCTAAGAATTGAATTGAACAAGGAGAATTGTAAACTGTAATTACGAATCTTCTACAATCCAAGCGTTTATTCAAAAATCACATCAAAAAATTGAGTCGAGAGTGTAACGACCCAAATTTTTTAATATTTAAATTGTTACTAAAAATTTCATTTAAACTTAGAGAAAAAATGGCATGCAATAAGTATAGAATTATGTAACGGTACTTTACTCACTGTTATATATAATAATTTCATATTCTTTAATTTAAAAAAAAATTGAGGATTTTCCTATGCCATATCATATTTATTTCTTAATTAAATAAACATTTCAAATATTTCAACATGAAATATTTTCCCGACAAATATTAAATAAAATATATGGAAAAACATAACCAAATAAAACGTTTTCCAAACCATAAATAACAAATTCACATAATAATAAAATTAAAGTAAATAATGCAAGTAAAATCTATAGTCACGTTACACCGGATTTAATTTATTAAGTCCAATGAATCCAAGTAAAACAACTGCGCCTCATCGCCCGCTAATCAATGACCCGTTGTAACCTGTGAGAGCTAAGAAAAATGGTAAGTACATAAGAATATTCAGTAGGACGCAAAATAATGGTGCAATTCCAAATAAAAGATTTAAACATATGTCAAAAATAACATACCGTCGTCATATTTTCAAAAATTGATAAGTGCTAAATAAATATCATATATTCGGTATCAGATGGTCATAACGCACTTCTCATATCAAATCTTTAACTTTCATTAGCATAATAATTTAACAACATGAAAAAAAAAATTAAAGGGATAAAGTCAACTGCACCACGTTAGATCAAATAAATTTTTGAAAGAAAACCAAGAGATTCCTTTAAATTTTCTTTCCGACAATAGACATGAAACCTGCTACTGCCTATTTACTCTGCCTAGCCCTGAGATGTCCTTTTCTGTAGTATAAAATATTTACCTTCATGGGGTAGATATATAGGACAAAACATTGATAAATTTCCAGTGCAATTGGGATTTAAAGCACCATGTCCCACGAGCAAAAATAGTTGGGTAGCAATAAATTTGAAAATTTTATCACAGTCCACTAACATTACAATTTATCTTAACAAAACCAAAACAAAAACAAAATTTGAAATATGATTGATATTTCTACAGGTAGCTGTCATTCATAAATCTTTAAATTAACTTAATCAATTATAATTTAAGATAATATCTTTCAATCTCAATAATTTGGATTTAACTTATCCGAAATAACTATTTCTCGAGTCCATGGTGCATCATTTAATGCGAACTATCTATCGAGTTCAATATTGATAAAATAAAACTAGCTCTATCAAAGTGTAATTATTTGATCCAAAATTATTAGAATTTAAAACATATTCTACTTTAACCCTTCAACCTTCTAAAATATAAAATATAGCATCTAGAAAAAAGAAGTTCTATTCTATAAAGTTTTCGAGACTTTAAAGAGAGGCCGAGGCACGAGCAGCAATGAGAGGCAGAAGAGACGAGAGACATAATAGAAACTTGATTATTAAGGGGATATTTGAAAGTGATTTTTCATCCAAAAAAATTGATTTTTTTACCATTATTTTTCTATTCCAACTGTAATTTTTGACTTTTTCTCTTACTAATAGCCCTCACTTTTCTTCTAACGGTCAAAAAATTAATTCTCAAAATCCCCACCAAACAAGGCCTAAGTTTTTGGTTTTTAACTACTAATTTTTTAAAAATATTTTTTAATTTATTGGGTCGGATTGGGTTTTAATGGATAACCCGAAACTAGACCCAACTGACCTAAATTTTGATTTCCTAACTCGAATCCGCGAATGAATTGTCCAAGAGCCTTGAAGAAAAACTTAAAGCAATTTTCGTGCCTTCGTCTCAATAAAAAGTCGAGAAGAATTAGTTGTCCCCATGTTATGGCAATACCTAACCAATTTAATATGCTCTCATTGACCAAGCCCATTAAATCCTCCAACGGAAATTTTTTGGCTTTCCAAGCTTTCGGGTAGTTCATGACCACTCCAAACTCTCGACGGTCGTTGTTAATGACGTCCGAATGTTTCTACATCGTCCGTGGGTCTTAACACTGGTGCATTATCTATCGACCAATAAACCCTGCTCGAGTTTACCTGTGATCATTTCGACGAATTTTCACTTCACAAGTATGTTCCGCGTACTCTTGCGACCTACAAATGACTCATATGTGTCCATCTTAGTTACTCAAATGCCAAAAGCAATTGTCATCTATGCAGATAATTGTCAATAATGACTTGTTCGATTTTTTTACCTAGAACCCAAAGTTGTATTTTAATGTCATCCGATGTACAGTTTCTTGCAAATATTTCTTTATTTCAAATAGGTGCTCGACATGCAAATCATCATTATCTGGAACCACACTCGAAGAATTAGAGAAATGCCCACGTGATTCAGCCTCTGAGGTTCCACCCTGCTCATGTCTTCGACGAAATAAAGTAATCAAATTCTCATTTGTAAATTTATTTTTATTTTCGTTATTCTGAACTATCGACGAAATTCTATATGTAACAACGAGATCACGATAAGAAGCAACTATCTTGGTTAATAGTCACATCATCATTATGAGCTATCTTCATTGTGTCCCAAAAATCATTGACATTGTCATCCGCTCTATTTGAATCTTCGTGTTCACCTTCGACGACATCATTCCTTACTAAAATCATGCAAAGATGAGTCGTGTACATTTTGTTTAATTCAAATAGATAATTCATTTCAACATCAGAAGTAACCTTCGTAGGTGTTATTGGAATGAATGAATGCTCGTTGAATTGAAATCTCAGTTCCATATTATACTAAGAATAATCGACATTCAGCTTGTTTTGTAAATCATGATACATTCTAGCACACAATTTACTCTCTGTTATGAAAATTGAAATACCAACACGTAAATCACTTGTTCATTTTCATACATATCGATAATTTTCATCCAATTCGAAATCACCAAAATAACAAATCCGTTTGAAAGAATTCATATGTAGATGAAAATTTTTCTTATTCATGCTTTAAAAAATTATAGATCTATTAAAATATATATATATATATATAAAATAAAATAATAATAACTCCTCTCTTTTTTACACTTCCATTGAGGATATGAAAATTTTTGTCATCACAGTATTGAGTTTGACGTTCTATTTTTAAAGATTAACATTATAAAAATACGTAACTCAATTTAGATTTATTTATTAAAAAAGTATACTTCAACGAAAACGAAATTATACATACGTAAATATATTTACCAATTCGAAGTGATTGATATAAAAAAATATTTTCTTGTTCAGCATTCGATAAATTTATGAGATCTTGGGTTGAAGAAGATGAAAAATGAGAGGATTTTTATCTGTATTGAAATAAATAACTAAAAAAAATAGCTGATTTTGAAATTTTAAGTGGAAAGTGTTTGATTTTCACTTGTTAACTAAAAAGTTAGTATTGTCTTTTAAACAAAACAATATTTTGTAATTGTATAATATACTTTAGATGCATTTATTTTTTGCCATCTAAAAAGTTATTAAATAGCTCTCGGTTGTTTTTCATTATTTGCTCATTAAAATGAAAAAATGACCGTTATCTATCACATCAAATCATCATATTTGACTTTTTATCTCTTGTATGAGATTCATAACGACTATATTTTTCATTCTCATTTTCAAATTGATGTGTATCAAACGGGCCAAAAATATGAAATAATTAAGAAGTCAAAGTAAAAAATAAAGGATTAAAAGTACGTTTTCTTCCACCACCTTTCCACGGACTTACTAAACACGGACAAAGGCACGATAAAGAGCAGAACCTAGAAGAAAAACACACTTAACAGATTAAACGTACGTTTTCTTCCACTGCCTTTCCACGGACTTACTCAACGCCGACAAAGGCAAGAGAAAGAGCCTAGAAGAAAGACACTCTGCTCAACGCGCAGATAGTCAATAATGCTTGCACGACGCCATTTCTATTCTCCATGAACAACACAATCAGCCCATCAAACCCTCTTTTTTCACTCCATTTTTTCACCTTTTCCAGTATTTAAAAAATAAGCAAAAAAAATAAATTCTTGTGAAGAAATAATTGATCGTTCCAAAGATAATTATTACTAATTATGGTTAAAAAACGGGTACCCGATTGGCTCAATAGCTCCCTGTGGTCCTCCCCGCAACCCCAACCGCCGCCGCAGAGTAGTGATGCCGTGGAATCTCGTGACCCGCCAGCACGTGCCGCCGAGAAGTCGGCTGTAGTGGAGTCTATTGTCGAACAGCCGGTGCCGGTGCCCCCACCGCCTGTAACTAGACCTGTTGAGCCACCAAGTTCTTTTGTTCACAGTAGTAGCACAAGTGTGAAAGGGGAAAATAGTGATCTGTTGAGCTGTCATAATGGCAGTAATTATGGAAATAATAACAACCATAATTATAATAGCGAGGAGGATAATGGGAGCTCTTCTACCAACTCTACTACTGCATCCACTGCTTCTGTTGGTGCAAACGCATTTGCAGCTGCTAGTTCTTTGGCTATTGACATTTCTTCCCAAGCCCAGCTTTTACAAGAGGTATATGTGTGCGTTTATACTTGGTTCATGGTTTAACTTCAAGTTTTTATCTATTTACTTATGAGATATGGTCTTTCTGTACATTAAATTCCTTGATGATACAAATTTAGTTAATGATACTCGGAGAGTATAACTGGCAATTTTCATAGTTGAATGGATTGAGATATAAAGGTCTGAGGTTAATTAGGACTAAAGAAGGTATGTAGAATGTTCATTTCGTTAATAGTAAAAACATAAGGATGGAAGTGGAGTCAAAATACAGGATTACGTTGTGTGAAAGAACATTTGGTTCGATTACTTTTGTTGTTTGTTTATTAGTGTGTGTGTGTGTGTGTGAGAGAGAGAGAGAGAGAGGATTCTTGTAGTCGAACTGAAGTTTTTTGGGAATAAAACTTATCTGTTTTGTTGTCCCATCGACATTCAATGAAACATACAGGACTAGTAAATATAGTTGCTCATTGTTGCATTATGTGTGAAAATTAACTGTGACAATAATTTTCATATGTAACATATTTGGGCAAGTTCACCTTTATCCATTGATATCCCTCATGGTTTCTGTGTGCGACATATCGGTCATTTGATCTAGAAGAAGCGAAAAATGAAACATTCAATTCCATGTGTAGGCCTTTTCTTAATTTGAGACACTAATTCATAAGTTTATCTAATCAAGTAAGCTAACAGCCTATCAATAAAACGTGTAGGCCTTTTCTTTATCCAAGTAGCTGATTGCTCCTAGTTGTCTTCATTGATCCTTATGAGAATGAGCTGTTCATCTGCTTTGTACAATAGCAGATGGGTACCACTTAATTGAGCTGCTGTTGTTTCCTAATGACACAAAGTTGACAAGCATTCCACCAAATTGGTATGGTGATGAATAGCTACCAAACCATGTTAGTTAGCTGTCTTTCTGCACAATTTAATGTTGGCAACAGATGGTGTGGTCCAACTGTGTACCACAACTGTCTTAGAGATTAGGAAATGTCAGATGAAAAACACTTTTAGGTATCACTTTTTCTAATATTTTGTCTACTTATATTTAGACATGTTTATTTTCTATTTACACTCAAGGTGAAAGTGAGGCCATTTATAATTTTGTCTTTAGATTAAATAAATATTTTATAACTAAATATATGAAGGTGTGGGATGTTGGCTATGTCTCTTCACACCGTAAGATTGCCCTTATGAATACTTGTACATTGCCAAGCAGCATGCAAGAGCCCGCCAGTTAAGGATCAAACTAGGGATAAGGACTTCTACAACTTCTCGGATACCTCAGAGTTTACGAAAAGAATGGCTTGCCGATGCAGTTTCCTTCCAACATATATAGCATCTATTTTGGGCTGTAGAACCCATATAAAAATTGCATTTACAAAGGGCCACAACACTTTCAAACTGCTCTTTAAAGAAGATATATTAAGGTACCTATATGTGGGTTGTTAGAAGGAAATCAAGATGCAAATCATGCCTCAAAGGACAAACACTCTTAGATATTGACACTATGCAAGTCCAAATCCAAAAATATCGTTTTAAAACTTAATGGGTTTAGTTCTTTAAATGCTCATGTTAGTGGCAGAGACAAATAGAGAGCAAAATGTGGATCCACTTAGCTAAACTGTTAGAGACTCACATGTATTTCATTTCAATATGGGCTTCAAAATTCCCTCTTGTGCATAGGTGGCATTCATCTTTTCCAATCAATGCTTGACATGTGCACAATTTCATTAAATGGATAGGGTGAGACTTGAACCCACAACCTTTATATTAGCTCCGAGATCATGTGAACTATTTGATCTAAAGTTTAAGCTACTAGAAAGGGTCATGTGTTTATGTCTTCAACACGATATAAAGGGAGACTATTTTTCACAGTGAAGGCAAGGAGTCGAGGATTTCCTTTTCTTTGTAGACGTCTTCTACCAAAAGCATATCAGCAGGCTATATCTATCTGTACTATTGACGTCTGATGGCTAACCTTGTTTGTCGATACTAGTATACCTATTATTACTATTAGTGATAGGTCTCTTGTTATTTCTCAAAATTCATGTACTCATAGAGAGGGTGAGTGACTTCAATGAGGTAATGACAGTGTGTGAGCTTGGGAGATTTATGTCAAGCCAGGACAGGGTGCAGGCACTAGCATACACAGTATATTACTGATGGCTATGGATTGTTTTATGTGCTTCTGCATCATCTTTGCCTTTTCTTATCTTTATTATCTCTCTGCATATTTAGGATGTACTTTGGGATTTAGAGCTTTCAATTTCAGGTTCATATTATGAGCTGATTTGTACATTTATGTTTGTTTTGTTTTCAACTTTAGCTGTCAAGGAAGATTATAAATATGGGAGAACTGCGAAGGATAGCATCACAAGGGATACCTGATGGAGATGGCATTCGTGCAACGGTGTGGAAGGTTTTAATTCGATTTTATATTCTTCATCCTTGAGCATATCTTATATGGAAAGCATGGTACTTATGGAAAACAAAGTTCCGCATTACAATTAAAGTTTCATTTCTAGTTGAAAAAGTTCACAGTTGGCAACTTACGCAAAAAATAATGTTTAAGTTGCCGTTCAATTAGTTTACCCAATAAGTGTATTATATGTCCTTTTGAAAAAAAGCCTCTCATTTAGTTTACTGGTATGCATAAATTCAGATTAAAAATCATGTAGTGAAAAATAAAATTATGTATAGGAAATTACGGAAGATTTAAAATAGTAAAATTGTCATTTAAACAATATATTGTCATAAAAACAAGATTTTCCCAAAATTAACTGGGATCAGGAACTTAAAAGATTGAAAAGTTCAGTTATTTGTCCAGGCAGAATAGATCAAGATGGAGAAAGATAGAAAACTTTGAACAGGGAAGAAACACAAGATGGAAATAGTCTTAGTTCATGAGATATTTTAAGTGGTCTTTTAAATTGAAGTGTGTGTATTAAGTAAGTAAATTGATATTTATATAAATTTTGTCTCCCTAGGTGCAAATGCAAATAGAATCTTTTATTTGAAAAAAAAAGGGTATAATAAGGTCAATAAGGAATTTAATGCAGTTCCCTGGTCTCCCGCAATGCTAGAATGATGCTGTCTATCAAATTTAGCTTATGATTGGCTAGGTTTATTATTATATTAAAGAAATTGCTGGCTAAAGCACTGTGGAATGGATTGAATTTAGCATAAGTGGTATTTTTTTGGCCTATGATGGGTAAACATGATAGGATATTGCAAAAGCTACATGAAAAAAGTGTTTCTTCTTCGTGTGCAGGCACAATATGGATGTAACTTTTGTCCATGGGCATATGTGGGACTTAATAAATTAACTGCACCAAATAATTGTTTTTCACTCCTCTGTTTCTTTTAGTTTCAGAAATTATACAATACCTGGATTACAATTTTATTGTGGACTGTTTGCAGCTGTTATTGGGGTATCTTCCACCCGATCGCGCACTTTGGCCTTCAGAGTTGGCCAAGAAGAGGTCTCAGTATAAGCATTTCAAAGAGGAGCTATTGATGAATCCTGTAAGTCCTTGAATCTTTTTTTTTTTTTTTTTTTCCTTTTTTTTTTTTTTTTTTTTGCCTGTATTTCCTCTTTCTAGTTAGGACTATCTTTACTCCTTTGGAATACACTGAAAGATTGTAATAATGAAAACGTAAAAAGAACAGGTATTGATCAATAAATTTGGCTTTGTTGCATAATGTGTTGGGTTTTAGAAATGCACAAGGCAAATCTTGAAAAATGCATTTTAAGAGAAATCCTGAATTCATAAGATGCTGTTCATACTCATTTATTTCCTTATTACGGCGCGGGGTATGTAAGCTGGCATACTTCAGCTTTTATTTAAACAATTGAAATTTTACTAGTATTCACTTTTTTTTGCAGAAAGTTCTTTCACCATTTTTGATCTGGGTGAATTGACTATCTGAGTAAGGTAGCATTGGATGGAATTTAGAAAGTTTCATCCTTTGCTCACTGGATGTTGGCCGTAACAAGATCATACAAATGAGAGACCTTTTGACACCTTTTATAGGCTCTTAGCCATTCTTGAATATTTGAATTGCTTACTTTTCTCTCTACACTATATTTATTGCAGGCACTGAGATCTCATGTTGCGTAGCTAAACCTAGATTTTCTTTTAGATCCCCGTATTTCTCATTTAACTTCTACAATTTCAAATGTTTGATGCTCATTTGTTCCTCTTGATTTAATTGATTCTGGGATTTTATTTATTTTAATGGCTCAGGAAATGCATTTGTATCAATATAGTTTATTTGTTTTATAGACAGTTATTATATCAGGAAGCTAATGGCTAAAAAGCACGCAGAATGCTTAATATAATTAGTCCTGTGTGAGCATTGTAGTTCTGAACTGCACTAATTTCCTTTGCACGTATATCTTCAATTCTTTTTATTTTTATTTTTTTTTTGGCATTTCTGAATGTTTCCATGGCTAGTTAGTCAGATATTACAAGGAAGATGGAAAAATCAAATCTTGAGAACAATAAACCAGATGGAGAGGATAAGGGTTTTCTCTCAAGATCAGAGATAACTCATGGAGAGCATCCATTAAGTCTTGTGGAGAGTAGCATATGGAATCAATTTTTCCAGGAGACTGAGATTATAGAACAGATTGAACGAGATGTCAAGCGCACTCATCCAGACATGCACTTTTTCTCGGGGGACTCAGCTTTTGCAGAATCCAACCAAGTGAGCTGCAGTTTCATTTTTTATTTTATTCTGTGGATAATTGTAAATCTATTTTACTCGCTCCATGTATATGACTTTCAGGAGGCTTTGAAGAACATATTGATTGTATTTGCAAAGTTGAATCCTGGTATAAGATACGTGCAAGGGATGAATGAAATCTTGGCACCATTATTCTATGTGTTAAAGAATGACCCCAATGAGGAAAATGCTGTAAGTAATGTTCTTGGTCTCTCCTATTCTCTACTTACACTCTGTACATTGGAAACCTACAATCTTATGATTCAGTAAAACATTATACTTTGTTTGTCAGCTTTCCTGCTTATTTTCTTAGAAACTTTCTCACTGTTGTAAATCGAACATGTTCCCTGTCCATTTTCTGCTGTTTGAAACAAGGACAAAGGCATTGAGAATCAAATTGATTGTTTCTTCAAGAATTATCAAACATGAGAACTTAAGGTGGTGTGTGGTCGTATCATTGGTCGTCTATTTCAAGGGACGTGATGGAATGGTTACTGGTTAGAGAGACCTTTTGAGCTTGACTTGGGGGAAATCCAGGTGGTGGTTTTTGTGAGTGATGCAGAATATTTTACGAGGGCATTTGATGAAGGATTTCGAGGGAGTTTTTTCATCATGGTGTGATCCATGCATTCTGGAATTCCAATTTTTTACACCTTATCCCAAAGAAAACAAATTCTAGGAGGATGAGTGACTTTCAACCCATTAGCTTGGCCTCTAGTTTGTAAAAGATTATTGCAAAATTTTTAGTAAATAGGTTGAGAGAGAATGAGGAAACTATTTCGCGCTATCAGAGTGCTTACGTGATGGGGAGAAAAATTCTAGATGTCATGATTGTTGCCACTTTGAGTATATGGCATTTATAAAGGATGAGTCAAGTCTTTAAGATTGAAAGAAGTAAAATTAACAGCTACAGGTTCATTTTCCAGCATAAAATTGCTTAATGTTCTTTCTACTTGCATCAAGAGTTTGTTGTTTAGCAAGAAATGAGACTGTATTCTAACAAGTGGAGGTGGCATCTCCTGAGGATAAATTAAGAGAAAGACCTAACTAAGCTTGTTTTACAAAGTAATCCAAATCCCTAGTTTATTGAGAATAAGACTTCACTTTTAGCTGTTTTGTATTCATTTTTCAGGCATGACTACATATTGTTTCTTATAGGTTTCTTAATCGAGTAAGATTACAGATTTGCTAAGGTAACAAGTTATTGCTAATATCTTTAAGATCAGTTAAATTTTCTTAGGAGTGTTGAGTACCTACTGTCCAACATAAATGTGGCAGGCAAAATTGCGCTGTAAATGAGAATAGAAAATTAAGGAAAATATTAGAAGTGCAAATAGTTTTATTTGAAATTGTTTAAATCAATCTCTTCACCTTGAAATTAGTATTTTTTCCAAATTAAAGAAAAGAAACTTCAATGATAAAATCTCCACCGCATGTCAAAGCAATTATGGATGCAGCAATCCGGGGACAGTAAGAAGACAAAAAAAATTTTGTTGAAGACATTTAACTTCATAAATGTGTCCACTCTTTAATGGCCTAAGTTTTCAGATTTAATGGTTCAACATGCTATTTGCATCTCGGCATCAAGTCTTGCCGCTACCCATTTATGAAAAAATGTGCATATGTCCTTTAATGAAAAATTATCTGGCCAGCACGTGAGGGCTTGTTGAAGACAAAAATTTAAATAAAACAAATGAACTTCTTCCTACTTCAGGAACAAGCATGACATAAAGAAATTGCTAACTTTTATCCTACAAAAATTAATCGAGTGTATCATCCCCTATTTATCGGCTCAAGTTTTTAGATGAGGTAGTTTAAAATTTTTATTTTGTGATTACTGTAGTTTTAATCTTAATATTCAGCAGCGATTTTACCAAGTGCATTTTCTTCAACTGGGAATAGTGCTGGGATGGAAGAAACTATTTTGATGTGTGTTAATCTTCATTGTTCTTCAGCAGAAATTATTGTTTTGATTCTTGTCTGGCATGCAGGTCTCTGCTGAAGCAGACACTTTCTTCTGTTTTGTGGAGTTGTTGAGTGGATTTCGGGATAATTTTGTTAAACAACTTGATAACAGTGTTGTGGGGATAAGAGCCACTATAACAAGATTATCACAGCTTCTGAAGGAGCATGACGAAGAACTCTGGCGTCATCTTGAGATTACAACAAAAGTAAGATCTTAGATGTTTGTCCAAACTGCAGGATTTTTTTCTCTTTTGCCATTGCTCAAAATATTAAGTGGACTACAATATTTAAGAAGGGTGTGGAATACCTTAATTTAAAAGACACTCAAATTTTGGATTTCAAATCTATGTTTAACTTTTATTTATGCAAAATTTGTTGTCCATAGCAGGGCTGGTTCATGCATCAATTGAGCTTTTAGTTTACTATTTTTGGTCACCTGTGGAACATTTGTGCAAGGGTTATATATAAATAATCTTCCTTGTACTACAGGGTGCAGAGACACCTGTCTGGCTGTTATATTTTGACAAATAAATATTTGATGACTTGAAGATTTTGCTTATTTGATTTTAGAGAATGATTTTTCAATTTTTATTTCTTAGATCTGCTGCAAAAACTACTAAAACATTATGAACCAAATGTTTGGTGGACAAATGGTCAATAAAAATAAATTTCCTGGTGACGTGGAATTGTATATTTGAGCTTTTAGTTTGTTGACTTCTTGTCCGCTTTGGTTTCGCCATTCTTTATCGATAGAACTAAAGGTGAATCAGTAACAAAAGTCACTTGATAGGAATCCTTAGCTTTAATGTTGAGCCACAGCTGTTGGTAAGTAGTCGTTAATATCTTGATTAATATAGAAGTTCAGTCTCTTGGTTGAATGTGAGCTCAGAGTGTCATACAAGGTGAAATGTTTTTGACATGTAGCTGGGGAAGTATCTGGTGATGCACTTGGATGCTTTGCCATTTACATATAGATTATTAATTTCATGCTTCATTTTTATTTTTACTGATATATTTGTGTGAATATGACAGGTCAATCCCCAGTTTTATGCATTCAGGTGGATGACACTCCTTCTGACCCAAGAATTCAATTTTGCAGACTGTCTCCTAATATGGGACGCACTCCTGAGTGACCCTGATGGTCCTCAAGTAAGTGACTGATTCTTTCTATATCGAAATTTCTCATTTGTCTACCAATATATTTATCAGGTACCTATAAAATCCATCCCCACTCTTGTAACCCCTTCAGTTAGTGTTTCCTTAATTCTTATTAATTAAAAAAATTATTTGTTCCTTCAATACCTTCCAGTTTGATTTTCCTTTACCAAAAGAAAGCTGCATCTGCAACTACTACAAACTTCATATGTTTTTTTTCCGCAAGCTTCCCCCTGCCTTTAGATGAGAAAGCCCTCTTTCACATCCCCCTAGACAAATCAATAGGAACTGCTACAACCCTTCTTTTGACGATGAACCACTCCGGGGGTTGTCACTCACTTCTAAATTCTGACAATTTCTTCCTCTGTTATCTCTTTTTATTAATACAAATTTTGTGGGATTTGGATTTTGCGACGGGTTTTGTTTTTAGCCACATCCCAGTTCTCATTGAAATATTTTTATCTTTTTTGATAGAAAAATAGAATTTTATCTATCATGTCATGAAGATACATACATCCATCCAGAGAACAAGGACCCTCGAGACCAGAAAATCAAATTCAAGAATGCATCCTCTTTATGTGATATTACCTTTTCTTTCCCCTCATCTCTTTTTGTATCTCGTGGCTTAAAGGTGTTTATGAACCAATTTTAACTCTTTCGATGAGTGAAAATTCTATGTAATTTGCAGGATACTCTGCTCAGAATTTGTTGCGCCATGTTGGTTATCGTCCGGAGATACTTACTTGCAAGCGACTTTACGTCTAATCTTAATTTACTCCAACACTATCCATCGATAAATATCTGTCAGCTGCTTTATGTTGCAGACAAGTTGCGCATTCACGGTCTAGGCTAAGTTTTGAATCGCATATCTTGTATGGTTTCATTATCATCATTTTAAATGGTATTTCTTGTAAAATTTCAAAATGTAAATTCAGTGAGAGTTGTTCTTAGGTTTTCTTTTCCGGTTTGTATTTCGACCTTTGGCAAGGTTGTGTATTGTAGATTTTGAGATTCAGACATGTTGTTGTGGTTTTTTTTGGAATTTTTTGCTTCTGTCAATCAGTTAACAGTAAATAAAGCAGTCAATTATTTTTTTTCAAACTTAATATATTACTACTAGTTTAGACTTTGGTAAATTAAGTAGTATCTGAACAATATTCATGCCCAAAAACAAGGTAAAAGGAGGACATGTTACCCATGAAGCTACTTATCAATTATTGTATTATATTATGTCCTTGTTTGATAACCATTAAATTGAACCCTTTTTTTTTCTTTTTCTTTTTTTAAGAAAATGAATTTGGTAACAGTAATTTTAGAAGAATGTGTGGTTCAAAAGAATGTGTGTCATGGTGTTCACTGTTATGAACATCATGATATTCGCGTAGCATTACCCTACAAAATATATAGGGATGACACACAGTTTGAAGTACTTTTCTAGAATTTATTGACAAAGGCAACTGCAGATTTTATTACAAGAAAACTATAATACCGTATACAATTGTGAACCTAAATTGATAACAACTGATATGAGCAAAATGTATCACAAGAAAACTAGTTAGGAACAATCCAAAATGGTGGTGGTTCAATTCTCTCTTGATCGAAGTCCAACAATGGCTCTATACTTCCATCTTCTAAGTTGAAGATTCCCATGTCGTGACCTCCATAAGAGTAATCCTCATCCATTCGATCCCAATAATCATCAGTGAAGTAAATGGCATTCCCCTTGCATCCCGGATGCTCCTTAACTGGTAACAATTCGGTATGATTTCCGCCCACGAATAGTGCATAATCATTCAAAGATTGTACTGGAAGCCATAGTTTCTGATCGAAGTCGAGTTTATAGGCATGGAACTTAACTGTTCTGTAAGGACAAATTAAAGGCTGGGATGAATGATCAGTGAGAGTATCGCCTTCGTAAACTACTACTCCATCGAACCTGACGAACTCTCCGATATACCTCACAACTAGAAACATCTCCCCCGACGAGAAAGCCAAGTACCATTGGGATGAATAGAGATCAGATGGGTAAATTTGATGGGATTCTGTCAACTTTCGAGGAGAAGGGACTTGAATAATCATCTTCATGCTTGGAGTAGATTCACTTAAATCCCATATTTCAACTGAAGGTCCTGCCCCCAATGCATAAAGCATATTATTATTGCAAACAATGTCATAATATGACTCAATTCCACCATCAAAGCCCGTCCATTCACAATCTCCGAGCCTGCAGAAAGCTAGTTTCGATTTGCAAAGCACATTGTACATAATTATCGCCTTACAATCTGCATCACAAGACGAAGGATTCTCAGATAAAACAGCTTTTGCGACAGAAAGTTGTCGAAGAGTTTTCGAAGAGTGGGAAACTGAATAATCCCAAGACTTGTAATGGATTTCAAAGACTTCGTTCTCGACTTCACGGATGGCATGAATGTGGGGAAAAGTTTCTTTTCCTGGAAGTTGATGACAGAATCCTGTAAAGATATTGAGAAGAATGGGATCGGCCTTTTGGTTCAAAAGAATTAACCATCCATGAGATGAACCCACAAAACGGCAATCCTGAAGTTCTTCGATATCGACATCGAATCGATATTGCATCTTATTTGTGAGAGTGAAGAGGCAAACGTTATTTTCTTGTTGAATGGGAAGCATAAGAAGGGGCGAAGAGACGTTAGAACATGAAATCTTGAACAACTCCATAATGGTAAACGAAACTGAAATTGTCTCAATGAATGCGTACAAATGGAGTATAGTATTGAATATATAGAGACGCATAATAAAGAATCACAGTGGAAATTGGAAGATAATTTATTGGTTTACAACTGGGATTAAGAAAAGGAAATATTTATTTAAATTAGGAAACAAAAAGGATTCTGTTGAATTCTCACTTATTTCCATATCCAATCTCACGATAGAATTTGTATTTCATTATGACACTGATATTTATTTCAAGTCCAAAATAAAGTAACAATGTCTCACAAAATTAATTTAATAATAGATTTTTATTTTATGGACTGTAAATTTGTAATTTTCCTTATTTTCACTTTAGTCCCTATAAAATGCGCAACATACAAATTGTCCCCAAATTCGTGAATTATTGCGATCAACTTTTAAGCCACAAAATATTTTTCTCCTACTTGAAATATTGGCCCAGAGAACAGTAAGGCTAGATTTCTCAAATTGGAACTAAATCTGGCTTATCGTTAATTGAAAATAAAGCATTTTGTTTTCTAACAATTGAATTTTACGTATGATGCACATAAAATAATCAAATAAAAGAAATTGACGAATAATATTGAATATTGATCATCTTCAACGTGGAAGGTAAGGATGATTTTTTTGGGTAATTTAGAACACGAAGGACAAGTCCCGAGGCTCTACACTACAAATGTCAAGAAATATGAACTTAATAAGAGAATAATGGAATTAGTATAATTAAGAATTATATAGATTTTTTTTTTAATTTATATGATTAAAAAGAATGATAGATGGAAATAATTCCTAGGAAAAATTGCATCAACAATTCCTAACCTTTCATTTTTTTATTTTTTTTTGCAAACTTTATCTCAACCTTTAATTTGTACCATCCATAGTTCCAAACCTTTTAAAAATATGTATCTGAGGTCCAAATGAATGAAAACCATCTAGTTGACCAAGAAATGTGGACTTTGATTAATTTTGACCAAATATAAATGGGTAAAATAGTAATTTTACAATTACTACATTAAATAAATAAACAAAAAATTAGAAAATAAAAATAAAAAATGAAATGGGCTTCTCTTTCTAGCCAACAGTCGAATGGCTGGCACACTGTCGGCACCATCATTGCCTCTTCGTCGACGACTAACCACTATTGATCACAGCAGCCGTCGCCCCATCCACCCCCCCTCCCCCTCCCCAAATCCACAATTTTGCCCGTAAACCGCCACCACCACATTTGGAGGATCGGCACAGCTACCACCATCACGCACAACAGTCGCTCGGAAATCGCCACCATTGCCACCACCACAATCAAACCAAAACCAACCACCAACATTAAATCAAAACCAACTACCAAAAATTATTTTCGCTACTATAAAACCCAACATACTTTTACGAGATTGATATTCAATGGCGGGTATGTGCTGTAAGGTGAATATTGGTGAGACAGAGATGACTTCACTTGGGGAATGGAGTTTAAAATCTGGTAGGAGAAGAACGGAATTCACCATCTCAAGTTCCTACACTCCGATTCCTCAGTGGATCCGCCGCTAGAGAATGGTAAAAAGAAGAACTGTTCCGATTTCACCTCCTTGTGAGCTTCATTATGCCTCTCGACTCGCGCTTCTTGGTCTCTGGAGCCGGGTCGGATGCGAATGCTAAAGTCACCGTCTAGTGGTGGCCGAAAGTAGCAAGTTTAGTTTGGGCGTAGGTGGATTGGGAAGTGGGTGAGATCTGGAAGAGATTATTTTTTTTTTTTTTCTTTTCTCTTTTATTTTATTTTACTTTTGGCTTTTAAAATTATTTTATGTATATAATAGCAAATTTATCATTTTACCCATTTCAATTTGTCAAAATCAGTCAAAGTCTATCTTCCTTGATCGACTAACAGTCAATAAAGTTAGGGACCCTGCTACAATTTTCCCTAATTCCCATCACTTACTAATCTTTTGAAAATCAACCTAGACATTGATCCGACAAAGGAAAATGATCGAATCGAACCGTGGTTGAACCAAATTAATACATTTATATATCACAAAAAATGACAAATAAGTTTATCTTCCAAATTAATAAATATCTATAAACAAAAGCTCTCATTAAACTCTGCTGCTTCTAGTTTTTATTATGTCCACTTTAATATCAATAAAAAATTGAGGCCAACCATATAAATAAAAGATTTAAAAGCACCGGCTTCAATATTTGACCGCATTTTAGTGTATTATATTAAAATAAAATTGAATGAGAAAGATAAATTATAATTATAATGAAAAAAGAAATTAAATTCAAAAAATCGATAATTTATTTCGGTGTTTAGATTTTCTTGTACAATTTATCAAATAAAAATCTTGAAGTTTTTAAGATTTGTTTTGCAGATTGTTTGCACTCGGCATCCTTTAACATATTCAGAAGTTAAAAGGTCAAAAATATATCCAACAGAAAACCATAACCGTAAACTTCGACAGAATCTGTAGTTTCATAATTTCTTCCGAAGGTACATACACCTATAGATTATCAAAATGAATTTGAACAGCGTAACAGTATGATCAACATGATCAACAAATTAATTGAAACTCACCCATGGGCGGATCTAGGGACGGGACGGGCTGGGCTGGGCTCTGTTACAGCTTGTCCCTATAGCCCAAATGTCCAATAAAAAAATAAAAATTTTAAGTAAAATATTTTTTTATGTGCGATATTTTTTTTATATGTATAAACCCGTTTTGAATTTTTTTCTGGATTCGCCCCTGAACTCACCAACTTCACAATGTGTCTTTTAAAACAAATTTGTTCACTTCTACGATGTTAATAACGGTCAGCAATCGTCTCTTAGAATAAAACGAATTTCGACTTTTATGAAAACAGCACACTATCAATAAGAGTTCCAATGAACTCAATACAACATTTTCGCACTCGAAAAAATAATATCAGAATTATAGAGAGAATTGAGATTCAGAGCAAGAATGTTTGCAATAAAAATGATGTACATTTCCAACAACAAGGTAGGTTACTTATAGACTTATTTGTGGTCATTTGAACACTCTACAAGCATTTTCAAAATAGTGATTATTGTCAGAAACCTTTCAAAAAAACAAACAAATAGCTCTATTCATACTGAAGTCATGAATTTGACTAATTACAATCTCAAAATTTTAAATAAATTTTGTCCAAAAAATATATGTAAGAAAAGGACCCACGTGCATCGAATCGGACTTAACATGTGCACTTAATCGTGCTGAGCTGATCATATGACAACATCATTGGGCTCGTGTGTGACAATGTGAGCTTAAGATTGAACACAATAGGATCCAGGTATCTTCATTCCAAAGAGTAGTGGTAACTAATACCCCTTGCTCAAATTCAATTGACAAACGTTCACTATATAAATCATA